ACCAGTTAACATAGTTTTTCCTAATGCACATTTTATGTGGTGGTAACTCACCTTTTGATTGGTGCAAATAATTAAATGTGATCTCCTTAAATAACTTTTCAATTTGATGCAAATGGCTAAAGGAGATTAGGGATTGAGTAGGATCAACGACCCACCATTTATGCTCTAAGGCAAGGTGGAAATAGTAAATAACACGTATGCATCAAGTCATCTTGTTTCACCTTCTTTGTAAATCATCTTATCTTGTTAGAAAAGAAAAGACACAGGAATCTTAGTACTAATCAGTCTAATCTTCAAAAGATGCAATGTGCAACAACTTGGAACTTTTGCTACGTCTTTTCAACTTCGTGTAAATAGCTGGATTTTACTTTTTTGGAACAGTATGTTATTGGATTTTATCTAGTTCTTTTCCTTTTATGTCCATATTCCCGCCTCTTAAATTGTTATAATCTTCACTCCATGTATTTTATTTTGTTTTGAAAGAATATATATAAAAAATAGAATTTGGGTGCTTCTTATGTCTTCTACTTTTGTTGAGAATTTGTAGTAGAAATTGGTGACGAAATTTCCTACCAACATCTATCTAAAAAAAAAGAAAAAAAATAATAAAATGACATCGGTTGTCCTTAATTTGCTTTTGCAACATACAAAAAGCCATAGCCTCAAAATTTCTTAATGCCGTGAGGTCATCAAATATATACAAATAATTAACTCAAGCTTGTGGGCATTAGATTATTATATATGCACATATATATATATATATATTCATGCTTGCCCCACTTTGGCATTGTTAATTAATATATAATAACAACTACTAAAACATAATTAATGGTCATTGCAAAGTAGTAGCTTAATATAATCTCAAAGCTGATTAAGCATGCATCCAAATCAAAGATTCCCTATAGTGTGATTTCATCACAAACGTTCGTGTATCATCTTTGTTTCAATATTTTTTTTCAATTAAATTAATGTGATATGGCATGGCGTCGGTGGGTGTGATGTGGCGTATACATCTTAAGTCATATATTAAGTCATCTCCAACTGAAAACCCTTGGGGGTGGGAAAGTGGTAACATGTCATTAGCTTGTATACATTATGTTTCATTTAAGATAATCACTAACGTTATTTTTTATTAGAAATAGATGAACATATGCTTTTACTTTTGAGGGATACTAGGCACCAGCCAATTGGGATTGCTGACATGTGAATAAGTTCCCTCAATTCGTCGAGATCCTCTTTTATCTCTCTCTCTTTATCATCAAATATTGTTTGGTTGTCTCATGATATGATAAGGCCGGGTACGACGCACATTTTGATATTTTTTTTTAAATGAAAATATTATCCTTAAGAAGATCAACCTAAGTTTGTTTGTAACGAGAAAAGTGAAAATTCAGATTAATTCTAATAGGCTTAAATAAGATTCAAGAAAGCAACAAAAAAACATAACATATTCTTATTAAAAAAGGAAAACGTTGATCCAAAGCGAAAAGGTATTTAGGATAAGCATGGGCAGATAGTTTAGAGATAAAAATCATGAAACACGAAATGGACCATTCATTAACCAACCACAGTACATATCACGCCCATTATTAAAAGCAACCAAATGGAAAAATTTGGTGATGATTAAGAAGAGGAAAGTATATATTCATAGAACACAATGATCAACATGTGCCGATCATATCTTTTTTGGAATTAAGACTTTGAAGAGTGTTTTAGACCATTTACCGGGCTGTTTAGTGGAATCAAACAAGTGACCAAGAAGATAACATTGATTAATCTCTCTAATCTAATCCAGTAAATTAAAAAAAAAAAAAATTTGGCAATGTTAACTAAAATTCTTGATATGAATATCGAGGCTTGATTATCATGTTCTACGTGTACCAACACATTTAACTTCACTCGTCACTCATGGGATCATGTAGGCTGGCACGTCAATCTAATTTGGATTGCTAGATTATCTGAAAAAACAATCAATAAAAGAATGTAGTTCTTCTAAAGGTGGTTATGTGATAACATAAAGATGCATAAACATTTGTTGCTTCATTAGAAAACATGTCAAAAAACCATATTAATTTAAAAATTAAATTTTTACATTTAAGAAATAATTTTATATTATTCTCTAATATATCTATTTAAGTGAAAAAAATTTGAGGTCAAAACTTATACAAGTCTATCCTTAATTTAATTTTGAAATTTACACGAGATACATTTTTTTTTCATGTTTAATCATTTTATTTGAAGAGAAAGTGAGAATTGTGATATTCAAATTCGTGATCTGTTTGATCATTAAATTTTCGATGCCATTTTAAAAAACCTTTTCAATCTAAAAATTTAAGTTTTTAGATAAATCTTCAAAAATAATTTTATATTATTTTTTAACAAATAAAAAAAATTATAATCAGAATAATTCTATAAGATTCTTAATCTTTACTACGTTAAACTTTAGAATCATTCTATAACATTCTTAATACTTATTGTGATTACGTAATATTCTTAGTACTTATTACGGTGAAGTTAAACGAAAATGATTATAATCAATTTTTATTTTTGATATAAATAAAATTGAGTCAATTAGGTTGTAGAAAAAAATCCTGAGATTGATCATCATTTGATTTAATCTCAAGTGCTAGATCTCAATAATTAGTGAGTTGTATTGACAATTTCTAAATAAGCAAAAATAATTGCATATCATGAGGCATAGCATGCCAACAAACCACTGTAAGGATACTCTTGTCTTTGAGCCATATACATGCACTAATAGAACTCTTTCGTTTTCATTTCAAGTGAAAAAGGAATGGCACCCCTTACTTTTTTCTTGCACCTACCAGCTGTCCCCTACAAGTAAACTCATCCACCTTTGAATTTGGATAACTATATTAATCATTTCCCTTATTTGGACAACTTTTGATCTAAGAAGAGAAACCTTAATTTAAGTTAGACTAGGTCTATGCAATGTATGGGTGACCCACACAATAGAGCTGAAATTTTGATGAGATCTTAAATCCATCCAATAAACGCAGTTTGGTAGTGTACATCACAAATAATAGACTACTTCATCTTCATCTCTCTCTCTCTCTCTCTCTCTCTCAAAAGGACAGCCCTACATGATATTCACACGTTCCCACTTGTAAGGAGATGCAATATAGCAGAAAAACAGCTTCCCCGTGTCACTACACAATAATACCGTACATCTACGGTTGTTTTTCTTTTAAAAAAATTTCCTCCAACGAGTAAATTATAAATTAGCCCCTCTAGTTTTTCAAAAAAAAAAAAAAAATTAATTAATACCTATATTTTATATCTATTTTTATTTTTATTCTTTTCATTCTCTTTCAATTATTTATTTATTTATTTATTTTAATAATAAAAATAAGAAAAGATTGATGAGAAAAAAATAATTTTTAGAACAAAATAATATTAAATTAACTAAAAACAATAATGATTAATGGATTTATTTATTTTGCAAAGCTAGAGGACCTAATTTATAAATTACTCCTCCTTTAACTAATAATTAGTTTATTTGACACATTAAAACTATAGTACTAGTATTATAATTTCCTGTTAATTAACCATTGATTAGTTGATTGAAGAAATCAGGTAGAATCTCTAATCGGGACCCACTTAAAAACATAAAAAACAAAACCATTGCCAATGGAAAATGGTTTTATCAACTTGCCATGTGGGCCCTTCAGAGACTGAGGACTCATCCGTACAAAATACCCATATTATAATACCACTTCTCACGTTCCTTGTTTTTCTCCATTATACAATGTAAGGGGAAGAAAAAAAGGGGCTAACCAGATTCTCTTGCCCACCAAAATAAATAAATAAATAAATAAATTTTGGGGTCTCACGAAAGATTGTATTTTTCTATAACCCAAGGATTTTGATTCAATGGCCTGGGTTAAAAAAATGGGGGTACTTGTTTGTTATTAGCTATACGTGTAGAGACATGAACTGAGTGCATGAACAATAAAACGGTAAAAAACAAACAAGAGGAAACCCACTTGGTGCCAGAAAATGTCAAGTGCTGGTTGGGCAAAATAATGGAATGATGATAATAATGAGGGAGGGTTTTGATTCGAGAGATACGAAGGTGAACCTAGCCAATAAGACAAACCAAAGTTGGAGGAGAACGAATCAAATCAAGCCAGGTATGATACCCTTTATGGGAATTTCTTGTTGAGCGAGCCTTTGTCCTTCATGTCTATCCATCCCTCAGCTTACCAACTAGAAGTAATAGCAGCAGCGGTATTAATCTCGTAAGGCCCACTACCCATCCTAGTGGGACATGAAGTAAACCAAACCAAGCCAAAACCAGCAAATCCCCTTCCCTCTATCCTCGTTCTCTATGTTTATCTGGATTCTTATTGGCGTAATAAAAGCAACAACGAACAATGGACAAGATTTTGATGGAATGGAAGCAGCAGAAGCAGCAGTGTTATGATTATCAGATAAGATATAAACCAAGTATCATCATTAATTTTACTTGAAAAAACAAAAATTAAAACAATATATATATATGAATAGAGAGGAAGAGGAGACCATGCTTTGTAGTCAGCAGTAGCAGCAAAGCTCAGGGGGGATGAACTTAACCAAAACACGGTCCACAGTCATGTGAACCCCATCAACTTGTTGGCATTGGGTCCCACTCTACATAAACAGCCCACAACACACACATACTATGATGACCCTAAACCCAAGCATCCTAAATTTTCAGTCCCGACCCTCTCCATGAATCTTCCTAGTTACTTACCATCAATTTCCATCCCTTAGCTCTTTTGGGTTGACCCACCTCACCCACATCCCCATATCTCCCCATATTTCTTTAAACCCATAAAATAATTTTGGAAAAAAAAAAAAAACTTTAGCCAACGCCCTCTATATATATATAATCTCAAACCTCAAACACAATCCAGTTCATACCTCTCTTTAGTCAACAAAAACACCCCATCTCTCTCTCTCTGGCTCATCTCTCACTTTACTACAACAACGAAAAAATGGATGGAAGCTGCATAGATGAGAGCGCAACTTCTAGTACTGATAACTCCATATCCATTACACCAACTTCCTTCTCTCCCTTTCCACCTCCTACTGCCACAACAAAATCACCACCTGAGTCACTTTGCCGTGTTGGGAGCGGCAATAGTGTGATTCTTGATGGCGAATCAGGCGTCGAAGCTGAATCAAGAAAACTCCCTTCTTCCAAATACAAAGGAGTCGTCCCCCAACCAAATGGTCGCTGGGGTGCACAGATTTACGAGAAGCACCAGCGCGTGTGGCTCGGGACGTTCAATGAAGAAGATGAAGCAGCAAGAGCCTATGATATTGCTGCACAGAGGTTCCGTGGAAGGGATGCTGTGACTAACTTCAAGCAAGTTAATGAAACTGAAGATGATGAGATAGAGGCTGCTTTTCTGAACGCTCATTCAAAAGCTGAAATCGTTGACATGTTAAGGAAACACACGTACAACGATGAGCTAGAGCAAAATAAAAGGAACCACAAGAATAACAATGGGGCAAATGGGAAGCAACACAAGAATACAGGAAACTGTGAGAATAATGGTTATGATCATGGTTGTACTCGGGTGTTGAAAGCGCGTGAACAGCTTTTTGAAAAAGCTGTGACTCCAAGTGATGTTGGGAAATTGAATCGGCTTGTGATACCAAAACAACATGCAGAAAAGCATTTTCCTTTGCAGAGTACATCAAGCAATAGTACTAAAGGTGTGTTGCTTAACTTGGAAGATGTGGGTGGCAAAGTGTGGAGGTTTCGTTATTCTTATTGGAATAGTAGCCAGAGTTATGTTTTGACGAAAGGGTGGAGCCGATTTGTTAAAGAAAAGAACTTGAAAGCAGGTGACATTGTTTGCTTTCAAAGATCAACCGGACCTGATAAGCAGCTTTACATTGATTGGAAAGCAAGAAGCGGGTCCAACCAGGCCCAACCGGTTCAACCCATTCAGATGGTGAGGTTGTTTGGGGTCAACATTTTTAACGTACCTGGGATGGAAAATGGGTGTAATGGGAAGAGATCAATGAGGGAAATGGAGATTTTGTCAGTAGATCATCAGTACAGTAAGAAACAAAGAATAATTAGAGCTTTGTAACATTTTGTAATTTTGTTTTGGTTTTTCTTTATGTAATTTTCTCTTCTTTCTTGGCATTTTGTGAATTTTAGGAAGGTGTAGAGGGATGGGTGGGGGGAGGATGGGGTTAAAGATGTGGAGGTGTAGCCGCTGCTGCTGCAAGTTGCAAAGTGTTAATTGTATATGATATTATTACAAGACAAAAAGCTGAAGAAAGCTTGAAATTAGATGCAACAAAGTTTAAAAAAAGAAAAAAAAATTAGAAATGGATAACTGTCAATTTGTTTCTGTTCATATTGCCTTTTGAACTGTTTTTTTTTCCTCCATATATATATATTTCCATGTTGTTTGTAGCATTATGGCTTTTGTTGGCTGTTCTGGTGTTATTGCTGTCCTAACATCTCCCTATGTTGACAAATTAATCTCATGCTTCATGCGATATGAGATGGAGTAGGTGTGGATAGCACCTTTGTCCTAAAAAGAAGCTCAGGCTAATTGGCTGATTATCATTGTCAAATCTTTTTAAATTATAAGTATTTAACTTTACCCCTAATCTCATTACATGTTAATACACACTTCTAGCCTACCTTCGTGGCACAAAAAAATGGAGATTTGTGGCACAAATAGAAGACGACTCATTTTTTATTTGCCGACGAAGTCAGTCCTGGACAACTAAGCAGGCAAGTGGCAAAACCTTTTGCTTATGAAACATGCTTTTTTCGGAAGCAATGCTTAGGAAAAGTTGATTGTATATGGCCTATGGGTTGCACGACAATTTCAAATAATTGAGGTGATGGTTATTCTGTTTGAAACATGATTTAAAGATACTTTCAAGTTCATGGAACTTGCTGGTTTATGTAGTATTCTAGCTACTTGCTGGTTTCTCAAATTGTTTTTGAAGAAATTCGAAAACATTGATTTTTTTCTTCTTTCAAAATTACATAAAAATACTTGAAATAGTCCTAAAATTTTGAAAATTATATATAAAATTCCAATTCACAATTTTAGAAAGCACTAATCTAATATTTATAACATCTGGTCGCATCAAACTAAATTTCAAATATCTAATTTTACGACATTTAACAAGATTGGATACTTTAAACACCAAATCCAATTAAACCAATATGATTAATAGAAAATAAACATTACTTTTTCTTTCTACCCAAAAACACTAGAGAAATCACCTATTGAAGGTATGGATTGGAGTTGCTAAGTAAGTACTCCAAAAGGATTACCACCTACTTTGATAACCAAGGCCCATAGTCTAAAAATAGGTTTTACAGGCATTGAGACTATATAATTTGAATTTTTTTATTGAGATTGTAATTTTTTTCTGTCTAATATAAGAGTTTTACTTTTATATTATTATTGTTTCAAATCCTAATCAATGATAGCTTGCCATGTAAGCACAAGTGGTAATCTCCGACCAATGATCGCTTGTTATGTCATAAATTCAATCATCCAATTTGAATTCATAATAACATGTGGCAAGTTATCATTGGTTAAAGATTACCACGTGTGTTACATGACATATTAAAATATGAAACAATAATAATATAAAAGTAAAACTCTTAAATTAGATAAAAATAATTAAAATTTCAACAAAAAATATTCAAATAGTACGAGATCTAAAAATGCTACTCCAGCAATTGAAGTTAATTTTTGGATCACTGCCCATAACTTTTACATTCAAGATCTTCCCTCACACCATGCGAATATAGGATGCGGCTTTAAACAGGCTAAGGGTGACAAATGGTATGGTTATGTAGTTCTTATTTTTAAATCCCACCATTTTACCTTGATTTTAGCATATTAATATTCTCATTACATCACCCGTTAAACCCTGTTCGAAGATGGCAACCTAAACCCTTCAGTAATGGCCCATCCCAGGGGCTTAAGCTGTCTACATATAATTAAAGAGGAGCTTTGACATTGCTAATCAATTGAAAAATGTCAAACCGTGAGTAAATGTCAACATACATTAATATGGTAGTCAAAGCTGGAATTTTCAAAAGAAATAAATGTGATACCGTAGTATTATGATTATCTAAAGCACCCTCTAAACTACGCAAGATCATTGACATTTCATAACTCAATTAAGATTTTCAAGATATCAATCAGATCAGATTCCAAGTCTTCAAATAGTTAAAAGAGATGCTAATCTGTTTGCGGTTTCCTCTGGAGTTGATATTTTCCTGCCATTAATTTTCTTCCTACGTTCCAAAAATAAGGGAATCACAGCTAATTTCATGCATGCTTCGATGTCCTTTCTTGCATATTCACGAATCTCATCAGATTAGTATATCTGCAACTAGCTAGCTCCACTGATTTATATAACATGAGAGAAACTGAACCAATTTCTCTCACAAACTAGATTGGACCCTAAGCAGCTACCGGTTAAAATTAATTCGAAACGAGACTTGAACTAATCGGGTCTTCCTATTCTGAATCTCCGGTACTATCCTTGGAGGCTAGAGGAAGCCTCTTGCCACTACAAAAATAAAGGTTTTTAGTGACTACCTCTGATAACCAACCACTTAGAATATTTGCAAGTGTTTTGGAAGATGGAAGTTGTTTAACATGGTCGCTAGAGCATGATATGGCTTTTGGTTTCACCATAGCCCGTAGGTACATAACCCATTTGGTGAGTAAAGTCTATATGCATTAAAAATCCATAACTGGCCTTTCAAGTTCTAATCGAGGACGAAAGAAATATTCTACCAAGGACCAACCCCTGCCAATTGTGACTACTCTGCTTTCAAATTGAATAACATCTTCAATTAAATATAACAAAAAACCAAGTGAAACACACTAGTTGAAAAACAGATCCTTCTCCCCCCATTGCTCTGTCTCCTCTCTCTCTCTCTCTTACTCTGGTTTGCTCTGAGCTTTGTGGCTTGAAATGTAATTCAATCTGATAGAGTGGCATTCACCCATGCTGTTAGGGATAGCCATAGATTTTCCTCCCATGCCTAACGGATACATCTTTCTTCTTTTACTTTTCTTTCAGATATGGACATTGAAGCCAAATATTCAAAACTGTCTTGTCACCATTAAATTTAGTTGAAATATTCAAATTCTTTTTGTCTAGCTAATTTACAATGGGTGTTGAAACATCTTGCAAAAATAATTTCGCCATTATTGACTGGGAATTTTGTTTCTCTTGAATATTTGATTTATCTCCGAATTTTTTTTTGTTTGGCATGTAGCTGGACTAATTTCAACCATCAATTGAGAATTATATCAATTAGCTTCTCCTAACTGTCCCAAGACTTTGTCTTAAAATCTAAAAGCCAACGAAAGTTGAGACATTTATGTTGAATTATGCTATTACGTTTTTAGAACTGTCCTATGACTTTCTATATTAACATAAAGGACAAGCTCATTTTCTTGACTTATCTTTCTATTATAATAACACGGAAAACCACTGGAGAATTTTGTCTTCAAAAATACGTATTTTTCTACTTTTGTTGGCCTGACTAGTGAAGTAAACTGCATGAAATTGTACCAACAAAATGCAAACAAAAGAAAAGAAAATAAAACTGAACGAAACTACACATGTCTTCGAATATCGAGTACTGATTTCTTTGCGCTTGCTATCAACGCATTGTTGGGCAAAAAAACACAAACAACACAGCGGAACCCTTTTGTCCTTGCTTGAACAATCAACCACATGCTACAACCAAATACCCAAGCCAAATAAGTAACTAATAATCTAAAAATTAAGCAATCAATCATAATCACACAAAGCACACACAAATTTTTACGTGGAAAACCTCTTCAATTTGAGAAGGAAAAAACCATAGGACCGGAGTCCACTATAACTTCCACTATCAATAATAATGGGTACAAGGAGTCCTCTCTAGATTAAACTAGATGAATAATCAGCCACAAACATCAAAGGTTACACACCCTTGGCAAACTACATCAAAAGATGATACACAAAGAAAGTAGAAGAAACCAAGTTCAAATTTCACCAGAAAATAGCACTGTTACGAGCACAATATCTCCCTCTCCAAGACAAGAACCTGATCTCCACGGTCCAGAATGTGCGCCTGCCTCTCCTGAACGTGCTCACAAAATTTGAGCTCGATCCAACGGTTAACGAACCTAGAAACTCAATTTTAACGTGACTAGTCCGTGCTGAAACTCTCTTCCCTCTTTCTCTTCAAAGTTGCGGCTCTCACTCCTTTTTCCTTTTTTTCTCTCTTGCTTCTTCCCTAATCTGATTTCAGAATAAAAGAGAAGATAGGGTTTATTTGAAAATATCAAAATTATCCTTAAGTGATTAATAAAAATCCTCCTCTACATGGGCTCCAAAATTGGACTCATGTAGGCAAACCTTTGGGCTATCCTCCAACGAGGAGGGAAACCTAACACGCATTTTCTTGACCAATCAAAAAAAAGATATTTGCTAAATTCACCAACCAAATTATTATTTCTACCATTTTTTTTCAAAAACTTATCAATACATTTTCTATTAATATTAGTTGTTCTATAATAGTTATTGATAATTGATGAATGATGTATTGATAATTATTTAGAAAAAAATAATGAAAATAAAAATTTGATTGATGAATTTAGCAGTAGTCATGAAAAAATAGAAAGAATGGTTCTAAATACGGATGATTAAGATTTAAGATTTTCAATTCAAAGTATAGGTTAAAATTTTGAAGCGTTTTAATTAAGTAGAGTCATTTAGATATGGGAGAAGGCAACCCCAAAAGTATCTAACCGAAAGCCCATTGGACTGAAGAAAAAAAGTAAGTTAACGCAGATTCATCAGGGCTTCAACCCTTAAACAAAAACATTGGCCCAGAATAGACCACAGATTTTCATGGTCCAAAAGCATCCAATTACAGCGCATCTGAACTTAGTAACGAAAGGTCCAAAATAGATCCAGACCATATTGAAATGGTCAAAAGCCGAGCCTTCTGCCCCGTCAATCCATAACCCAGCCCCACTCTCTTTCTTTGGTTTATCTTAATTTCTTTCTTTCCACCCTCTCTGTCAGCTGCAGAGAAAATGGGTTTCGTTGCTTCACACTCTTCCCATTCACTCTCTTCCCCTCATTCTTCTCTGCAACTGTCTTCCTCCTCCTCATCCTCATCCTCATGGTCAAAGTCAACTCTTTTCAGCGGGACCCCACTTTCCTTTTCTCCCCCAACCGGTAAAATTCTCAAACTTTGACTCATTTTCGCTGAATTCACTCCACAAAGATGCAGTCCTCCTTCTAAATACTTTTGCAAATTACTAACTCCAGGCCAAAAAGCACAAACTATTAAACGACTCGTCCTGTTCTCAAAGAGAGTTTCACCTCTAGAAGAGGCCATGAGAATCAGGAGGTACACCATTTAGATGATTTTGTTATGGTTATTTCATATTTGCTTGCTTTTTGTATTGGTTTTTCGGTGTGTTTTCTTTAATTTTTGTAGAGAACGAGAGCTTCAAAAGACGACTAAGTTTAGAAAAAGACCGCCATTGAGGCGGGGAAGAGTATCGCCACGGTTGCCAGTGCCTGATGATATTCCAAAGCCTCCATATTTTGGTTCAAATGAGTTGCCAGAGATTTCAAGTGAGCATCAAATTCATGACTCTGAAGGGATTGTTAAAATGAGGGCTGCTTGCGAGCTTGCTGCTCGCGTTTTGGAGAATGCTGGCAAATTGGTTAGGGTAAGTAAGAGCTCGCTCGCTCTATGTTTTTATGTTTTTGTTTTGTTCAAGTACTTATAGTTTTATGTTCTTGTTGACTTTTGAATGATATGGCATTTTATTTTAAGGTTAGGTCTTTTGCCTCGTAATGTTTAAGTCTATGTTTTGTTAGTTAGTTAGGCAGTGTAAATAGATTTGGCTTGGGATGGGAGCCGTTGTTTATGCTAGTGAACCCGTTCTATGATGCAAGGCTAGAGTTTTTTAGGTTTGTCGTCACTATGCGTGCATCATGAATTTTGGTGTTAAATCAAAATGTTGCATTTCTTACTATTTAGAATTTTAGTTAATTTTCTAACTTCAAAAGTCAATCTGTTGGCATTTCTGATGCTTTGTATCAACTGCAGGGTGTTTCCAGTTTGCATATGCTTGTCATGCTGGTCGAATCATTTTCTGGAAAGCAAATTAATATCCATCAGTTCATAATAACAAATTTCTTTAGCTGTCATGGCACAGTTAAAGCGCTTGCTTGACTGGTGCGGCCAGTTGTTAATTGACTTGTTTTTCTGGCTGTTAGGAATGAGCGTGCTTTGATGGGAATTTTTCGCAAATGACTTTTATGCCTGTTTAGGAATGCAAACACTTTTACTACTCTGATCTGCAATTTCCAAATTTGATTTTTTCTTGTAGGAAGAAATTTACTCATAAAGGATTTTAAGAGATACAATATCAATTCTTTGATAACATGTTAGGGAAGGCAGGTATTTTGACCTTTCCACTTGCTGTTCCTTGAACGTCTTTGAGGTTCTGTTGTCCCCGTGAACAGAAATTCTTTTTAACCTCCACACATTGAAATTGATTGCTCTTTTGGTTTATGCTCTCAAGGTATAATAGAACTGGAACAGAGAGATAAAAGCTCTCATTCCGCCCTGACATTTTATAAGAAATTGATTCTTTTTTTAAAATTTTGGAGGAAGATCTTTTCTATTTTATCTTGTAGATTCTTTTTTTTTTAATAATCTTTTGGGTCTGTTTATTCGTAGTGGTTTTTGATACCATAGATTTGTGAGATTATTTGCTTTTGATATGGCCTTTACTTGTTTCTATACCTATATCAGCCATCAGTTACAACGAATGAGATTGACAAAGCAGTGCACCAGATGATCATTGATGCTGGTGCTTATCCTTCACCTCTTGGTTATGGAGGATTCCCGAAGAGTGTATGTACATCAGTTAATGAGTGCATGTGTCATGGAATACCTGACTCCCGTCAGCTACAGGTCTGTTTTTTGCTGCTTGTATGACGTGCATGTGGATTGTTGCTAATTAATTGTCTCTGTGCAGGATGGTGACATAATAAACATTGATGTGACTGTCTACTTAAATGTAAGTTCTTGATTCATCATTTTATCAATAATTAGGTGGGTTTTTAATACATAATATGTTTCATTTTTCCTGCTAGGGCTATCATGGAGACACTTCAAAAACATTTCTTTGTGGGAATGTCAGCGATGCACTTAAGCGTTTTGTGAAGGTAAATTATATTTTGTACATGTTCGAATAGCAACTATTTCTCTTTGTTGCTAGCTTTGCAAATTGTGACCGGGATTATGGTTATTTAACAATCTTTAATAAATCTTTGAAGTTGAACTTTGGCAACTGATTCCTGCTTTGCCATTTCTGTTGAAGAAACTTGCATATCCCTCTATGGACATAATATAATAGATATTTGAGTCCTTTTTTTTTCCCATTCACTGGAAATGTTACTGAGGCATTGACTTCTTTTATGCCTATTGCTGCAGGTGACTGAGGAGTGTTTGGAAAGAGGGATAGCTGTTTGCAAAGATGGTGCTAGTTTCAAGAAAATTGGAAAGAAAATTAGGTATTATGTTTCTTTTATCTATTTTTGTTGGAAAGGAAGAGAACAATTTTACAGTGGCTGAGGTACTATATCAGAGTCTTGGTGTGATATTCATTCTCACAGTTTGATACTCACATAAACTAGCATTAGTTTACAGGTTATTAGCATTCATTAAGCATGATTATTATTTATTCATTTTGCATTATTTGCATTACCTCTAATTTTCCAATAGTAACTTATTTCTTATTTTTTATCTATAGCACTACACGATTGGAATCCAAATTGGATTTGTGACAAGTCACCGATAAAAAGCAACCTCTTTTCATGGGTTGGGTTCAGTTAACACTTTTGGTACCTTTTCCCAGATAAAGTTGGATCTAGTGCTTTTGCTTAAAAAGACTAGAACTAAGTTTTTGTTACCTTTAAGCAAACTAGACTCAAGGTTCATTGTTAAAAAAAAAGATTCCATGAGAGAGATTAGATCTCTCAAGTAGCTGATATAATTGTAGGTATAATTTGGAAACCAAGTTGAAACACAGAGGGCTAGAGAACTACAATTCATTTGATGGCAGCTTATCGTAGTAATTACTCACCAGTGCTATTTTCTTACCATTTCCTAGGTAATTTTGTACGAGTATGAGTTAAGCAATTGGATACATAAACGTACTTTTCTCCATATTGGATGGTTTGTTACCAAGTGTTATGGTTGGGTATGGATTGATCAATGGTAATGGGCTTATTTGGATAAAAGATGGAAGTTGTACAGAAATATATGAAAAACTCAAAAGTTTTGAGGTTGCTGGCTGATCATTTCATTCATCAATACTATTTTTATCTATTATTAATGGTATAATAACAGATTTTGCATGGTTGTGTTTGCGAAAATATCACCTGTGCTTGACTGATTTGTGAAATATTTCATAGGTGGTTAGGATAAAAAATTCATTCTTCTATATTGTTTTTTGATGGAGATTGACCTTTTATAACATTATTCCTGGATTATTGCTTCAGTGAACATGCTGAAAAATATGGTTTTGGCGTGGTGGAGCGTTTTGTTGGGCATGGTGTAGGGACTGTATTTCATTCTGAACCATTAATATTACATAATCGTAAGTATATCTTGACAATAATATTTACCGTCTTCCCTTTTCTTTTGTCTATTCGTTTGAGGTAAAGTTGAAACATTTGGTATATGGTCAGTATGTACCTCTCACCATGCTTGAACTAATAACTCAAGAGGCCTTGTGAGTCATGAGCATAGCAGCAGTCTATCATCCTTGCTTTATGAGCCGGTTCTGGACTAATTACTGTCAGTTCTATTACTGGTTGAACAACAAACTACAAACTCAAATCAATCCAACTAAACCTTGATCTGAACTAATTAGGTCCGTTATTTTCCTTTTTTGTTTCTTTTTCCCTATTGTTAATCCATTTTAAATTTTCCAATGTTTAAAAAAGTGGAAAATATCCTATTGACCTATTGTTATTCAAGGATAAACAAATGGAATGCCTTTAGGTGCATCATCTTTGTAGAAGTCATGGGCGGACTGAATTTTTCTGCCTACAAAGCTTCTTCGTGTAGTTTCATTGATAATCTTTTCATATGCTGTTGAATTTTCATTCTAAAAGATCTACTAAATCTAGTCTAATTGTCTGACAGGCAATGATAGGCCTGGTGTCATGGTTGAAGGTGAAACGTTTACCATTGGTGAGTTCATCTTTTGGAGTTGCTTGGCTATATCTGACAGCTGTAGCCTGTAATCCTTGCTTTAGTTTTTCTATCCATTATAATTTCTCCTCACCTTTAGTTTGATCTGCTACACTTTTTTTCTTGTGCAAATCAAATATGACCTTTTACTTCTACTACACAATCTCCTTATGCTGAATTATGCTGCGTTTGCATCAAGGAGCACCCAAAGTGACATTACTAATCTAGCTAATACTGAGCTATCAAATAGCCAGTACACATTTCAGAATCTCACCCTTATCAATGTTTTCTAGCAGAAATTAGAGTATATTTGGCATCTTCTGTGATGTTGCTAAACAAAATGAAAACATCTGACTATTTAAGTAAACCTTGCACTGTTCTGTAATTATAGAAATTCCTTGTGTCAATGCCTTTTCGATAACATTTCTTTTCATTGAAAAAAAATTAAACATAGACAAGTATAATGGTGAACAATTGTTATGTTCTTTCATACCAACTTTACATCTCTCGTTAAACCTTTTTTCTGCAGAACCAATACTTACAATAGGAAGCACTGAGTGCGTAACATGGCCTGACAACTGGACAACTTTGACAGCTGATGGTAGTCCTGCAGCACAGTTTGAGCATACCATTTTGATTACTAGAACTGGTGCGGAAATTTTGACCAAGTGTTAAAACAATGTAATTTATGATGTTTTTGGCTCCAATATCTTTTTCTCGTTTCTTAAGTAGATACTTTAGGTTCCAATTCTGCTTCTATGCATATGGGTTCCTCTAATGCTTGAAATTTAATCATTCAACATTGGTAAAGAAGCAGATCTGAATTTAGAAGTTCATTTCTTAATGACTAGGCAAACAATGAGAGTCAGTCAATAGTTTTTGGATTTGGAGAGTAGATAGAAGAAGCCATACTTCCACCGATGGCTGCTAGACAAGTTCTGCTGTCCAAGCATGAACGTTTATTCTTAGTCTTTGTCTCTTAGCAATGATAATCTAAATGAAGCCCCCCAACACAACCCCCATTATTTAAGTTGTAAAATCTTCAAATAGTGGTTTTGCTTTCTAGAGTTACTTAAGAAACCTACTTAAAATTGTGATTTTAAGTTGTTTCACAGCATGCTTTCATGTGTTAACGAGAGGAGACTCTAACCTAATAGTTTATCTTTTTCATATTGCTTAATGTTTGCTCTGATTCTGATATTTGTAGTCCCTTGTTCTTTTCAATTGGCTGTTCACATTCCTCTGGTTTTACTGCAATAGTAATTTCTTTAATTGTTTTCACAACGCTATGTTTGCATATCTGTGGAAGTACCTAAACACTCGTTATGAACAAAAGTACCTGAAACACTATTGTTATCTCTTTGTACTAAATGGTATTTCCTGTGTACCTAAGACATGCTCATCTGTTCTTGAATGACTTTTTTTTTTTTTTTTTCGGTTTTATTTAGGTAATTCTGAGTTTATGTTTGTGTGAACTTTCTCTCCATAGTCCAAATTATTGAGGATATAGGGTCTGGTCTGGTCCGATAATGGGATTTATTGGTTAGGTTTAGAATCTGATGATTCAATGACCACCGGCTTTTGCGGATGTCAGTATCTTAGCGATAAAGAATACGCAGGGTGCTGTTTTAGGGAGAAGATTTAGTCTGGTTTGTATTCAGATTGGCATTCAAAGTGGGCTTGGTTAGTTTTTTATTTATTTACGATAAAGACAAGCATCGTTGGTCTTTTAATTTTTTTGGGTTTGGGCCAACCATAGTTGTAGGTTCAGCTCTTATATTGTTGACTTGTCGTAAGGACCTCATGCTATTCATGTTGAGTTTTCTCAAACCTTAACTAGTTCCAACGAGTCAAGTAGCGTGTTTGTGTGTGTAGCCCTAGCCCGAGCAGCATGTCAGTTGTCACCATAATAGCGACAAAATGAGTAGTTGTATATATATATATATATATAGACATGGGAATAGGATCTTTCACATTTTCCCTCAATTCTATTGAGTTGACCCGATACTTCCTGGAAAACACCAGCCTACCTACCTTGGGTGGAATCAGTGAAGCTTAAATCTAGGCTGGGGAATTCTCAGAAAATTAACCTCATCTTATCACTAGCTCTTCTTGTGCACTGCTGGGGTGGGCATCTATGATCTACCAATTTGCAAATGAGTGTTTGTAACCAAGGTTCACGTTGTTATATTTTCCGAGGAAATGGAGTAATAAAGATATTTTAAAGCCATTGAAACTAGTGAAAGATTGTTTTGTAGAGATAAGAGTAAGCTCCATCCAGGCTACCAACCATGCTCAAAGAAATGAGCTGCTCGCAAGTTTGTTTCTACCTTAGGCCATATGAGAGGCTCTCACTGTGAGTGATTTGATCTTTCCATTCCACGTGCTGACCATTCTACACCGTCCAGCTGCATTTCTCCACTTTCCACATTTAAAATCCCCACGTGTTCTACAAGAAATGCTTGAAAATTCTTTAGGGGGACTATATCTATATAAAGAATGCACTATTGCTGCATCGTTTGAGCTGTCCATCTTGATTCTTGGCATCTTATATTCTACACTTTTCTCCTCCCAAATTCCTCAATCTATAATCATCATCATCTATGGCCTCTGCAAGCTCTCTCAAGCCAATATCTTCTCTCAAACTCTCCAACCCAAGATCTCAAGGTCACTTCCATTCTCAACAACAATTGGGTTTCACTCACTCTCAAGCCTTTGCAACCCAACATCTCAAACTTTCAAAAGACACTCATGATCAACATCATTTCTCAACAAAAAGAAGTTCCAAGGACTTCACCACCAGAGCTTTCTTCTTCAACAAGAAGAAGTCCCCTCCTGTATCTCCAAAACCAAGTAAGTCAAACTACTTGAACATAAAAATTCGGATTGAAAATGATGATCTTGTTTATATTGCTTGAGTAATGAAATGATTCTCTCTCTTTTAGCTAAAGTTCAAGAGCTGAGTGTCTATGAAATCAACGAGCGAGACAGAGGCAGCCCAGCATTCCTAAAACTCAGTCAAAAACCCCAAAACTCTCTTGGGGACCTCGTTCCTTTCTCCAACAAGATTTACTCTGGAGACTTACAGAAACGCTTAGGCATAACTTGTGGTCTCTGTGTACTAATCCAGCATGTAGCAGAAAAGAAAGGTGATCGATATGAGGCGATATACAGCTTCTACTTTGGTGATTATGGTCACGTATCGGTACAAGGAGCATACCTAACCTACGAGGACACCGACCTAGCTGTGACTGGTGGGTCTGGGATCTTTGAGGGTGTGCGTGGACATGTCAAGTTGCAGCAACTTGTGTTTCCTTTCAAGTTGTTCTACACTTTCTATTTGACGGGAATACCTGATTTGCCAGCTGAACTTCTGGGAAACCCAGCTGTGACCCCATCGCCAAGTGTAGAACCGGCTCCTGCTGCTAAGGCCACAGAGCCTCATGGGATTATCAAAAACTTTACCAATTGATCCATGTTGTTTATTTATGAGTTTATTTTCTTTAATTTTGCCATCTTCTTTCCAGTTAATGTATTGTTTCTCTCAGGAAATAATAAATAGGATCCTTTTAGTGTGCTCAATAAATGATTAAGAACCAATATGGCTATTGATTTATTCATCCTGAAAACGAAAGAGCAAATAAACTATATATATGTATATGGCCAAAAGTTCTAAGCAAACAGCCTACAAAGAGCGTAGTGCTACTACCCCTATTAACATCATAAAGTAGAAAGTCTAATGCATCCAGCTGGTGCCTCAGAAAAGTAAGTGGTCCCAAGGTGGCCCGGCCCAGCCCCACCCTCCAAGTTTACGAAAATTTCAAAATCCCCTGCTTTCTTATTCCTTAATGAAAAGGTCACCTCAAAAAAAAAATAATAATAATAATAATAATAAATAAATAAATAAAATTACATTTTGGTCTTTTGGAGGACCAAAGTCTGATTGGAAGCCAAGCAATGTATCAGTTAGCCTCATAATAAATATGATACATATGGACTTGCCATTGTCTTCGATCAAACAAAAAATTGAAAAAAAATATATATATTATTTCGAATTGAGAATTACTTTCGAGCTACAAATTAACTACTTATTTTGATCTAATTAGTACATTGATTGTTGCTCTTGAGATGTACTGACTCGAAAAGTGTATGCCATGATTTTGATTCGCTAAGAAAAGGAAAATACCATTTTGTGTCAACAAACAGATTCCTACATGATTAAAAACCATTCATTGGAGGGGGACATTTCTCATCTAATGAGAAAGCAATTATAGATTATAGATTATATTGTGAGGGTTTTTATCATTTTATTTTTTATAACAGATGTTAAGAGAGTAATTTATTTTGTATTAATTTGATATTAATAAAATATATTTCTTTTTGTTCTAGCACTACATTCTTTCCTGGTGAAAATTTAATATCTTACCCCTGTAAAAGAATTTGGTCGAACTTTTCCTATATTTGCAAAATTTTGTCCATTTGATTCAACATTTTTTAATTTTTTCGTTCATAATTTTTTTTAAAAAATAATGATTAAGAAAATTTGAAATTTTTTTCTTTATTATTTTTAATTTTTTTTATAATTTCTTTAAAAATTTCAAAATTTTTGTCTCTTGAGAATTTTTTATTAAGCATTTCAAAAAAAAAATTTTCCTAACCATTTTAGACAATTTAAGATATTTTCCACATTTAAGTATTTTTATCTCTTAAAAAAAATTGATGGCACGCTATGCATGCATTTTTTTAAAATAATTTTTGTTTCTTATTTTGAAAAATAAAAGCCCAAAGATATCGATTTTTTTTTTTTTTGGTTTCTTAAACATTTTTGAATTTTCAATTGTTTCTAAAAAAATAATTTAAAAAAATTATTAACATTTTTAATGGAAAAAGAATTTTTGAAATTTTTTTCTTTTTTTATATAAAAAATAGACTTCTAAATTTCTAAAAATTTTAATGACTAACCCTAATGTGGATATACTTGATTGATTGACCAAAATTTGACAACACAAACTCTTCAAAAATAAAAATAAAAATCAGTATACATAAGCTCATATAAAAAAAACAACCTAATAGAGGAATTAGTTTTGGGGTCAACTCATAATTATTATAGACATATACATAGTCTAAGCTTAAAAGATCTTAATTCTGTTTTTATTAGTACAACAATTATATATTCTGAAAAAAATAGTACGCCTTCTCTCCTCTCTTTACCAATATTTTTAATCTTTTATATAATCTTAAAATCCTGAAAAGAAAAAGGAGATGAGATCTGATCTATAACAGCTTCAATGCATACTGCAATCTATTTGTTTCTAAGATGCATTTTAATTTCGTATTTTGTTAAACATAATAATTGAACATGAAGAATTGTGAACTTCCCATACCATTTGATAATATTATAACCAAAAAAAAAAACCTTATCTTGAGAATTTATGTTTGTATAAAATCGATAAATTAAACTATGTATAAATATATTTGATAAATTCAAATCTATATTCCTTACATTTTGTTAAAAAATAATGTAAATCATATTTTAGGATCTCATATAAAAACTTAAATGTTTGAGTATAGATGATTTTTTGATATAGTATCAAAGTCTTAACGACAAAACGAGTTATAAGTTCGAATCTCACCATTATCATTTCTATTTTAATTAATTAAGTATATTAATTAAGTATAAGGTAATGTGAGTCCGTATATGTTTCAATCTCAAAAATCTTTCACTTCAAAATGTGTTTTAAAAAACAATATAAATCATATTTTCAAATCTCATATAAAAGTTTAACTTTTTGGGTTGAGATTGTCTTTTGACATATTTAGATAATTTAATCCAACTGTTTTTAATTCTTAACAAACATATAAAAACTTGTTTATATGAAAAATATTAGTCACGTTATACATAATTTTGACTAAAATATCGTGTTCTAGTTAAAATAAAAAAATAAAATTGATGTGGGACTTGCATGTGACTTCACACAACCCACGCTTCATATTACATATTTTAGACAAATAGAAATAAAAAAAACTTAATTTTAATTTAAACTCCTCATTTAAAAACTCACTTTCCCTTGAAAACTTAGGTGTTTTTTTTTTAAAATAATTAAGGATAGTTGGATTGAATTATCTAAATATAATAAACATAAAGTTGAATTTGCCAAATTATTTATACATGATTTAATTTATTGATTTCATGCAATCACATGCTCTCAAAATAAGGGTTTTTATTTTTGTTTTTATGATAACTGAATATGGCGTTGAAAATATCATATCTATCTATTATTATTATTAATATTATGATAAAACAAGGGTAGATTAATATTATTGAAGAAAAGTATCAAAGATCGATGAAAAGGAAGCAAAAAATCAAATGTAAAACGGAATTGAACATAGCAAAACATAGCTACAGTGGGGATTAAGATGGATGGTTAAAAATATCATGGATGTATATGTGTGTATGCATGTATAGAATTAAATTGAATAAATATTTTGATATATCTAATTAACTGACGAATATAGTCAAAATGCTATTGCTGTATATCAATTTATCAACAACACACACACATATTTATGTTCATAAGGATGCAATTAGTTCTCAGTAAAATAGATAACTGTGCTAGGAAGACCGAAGACGCAACCAAATGACTGCTCGTGGTCCCAACGAACATCAGCCGATTGGCATCTCGACATTTGCTATAACGTGCAATGATTGAATTTGTTGTTGGTAAGTAGAAATTGACCTTTCCATGGAGCCATACACTGGATCCACGAGCCTCGTAGACTATGAATTAGAGTAAATTAGATACTCGCATTATACTTAAATCAAACAATTGTTATATATATATATATATATATATATATATATATATATATATATATATATATATTAGTATAAAAATTTTTATTTGAATAATTGAAAGGTTTTCTTAAAACATTATCTAACTTATTTTATTTAAAAAAATTAGAAGATGAAAAATTAAATAATAAATAATTGGTATTATATGTGTAGATATATAGTTAATTTCTAAAAAATATATACAAAAAAAACTCACCAAAATTGTATGAAATACATTGAAGTCAATAGATTAAAATAAAAACTACAACAAAATTGGTTTTGATAAATTTTGAATATATATATATATATATAAACTTGTGAATTTTTTCAAAAAAAAAAAAAATTGAGCCAAACTATCTAAAGCATACTTTTATCTCTCTCTCTCTCTCTCTCTCTCTCTCTCTCTCTATATATATATATATATATATAAACTTGTGAATTTTTCAAAAAAAAAAATTGAGCCAAACTATCTAAAGCATACTTTTATATATATATCTCTCTCTCTCTCTCTCTCTCTCTCTCTCTCTCTCTATATATATATATATATATATATATATATATATATATATATATATATATATATATAATAAGAATTTGTAAATTACAATAATATATTTTAAAAAATAAAACACCGATATTGTAAAATTTTATTCCAAAATTCATATATTAAAAAATCAAATTTGTTAAGAAATAAAATTATATCAAAAAATTAATTTGATAAGAATTTTAATAAGAAACAAATAATTGAAGAAATAAATTTTAAACGAGTAAGAGTAATATAATTAGATATATATGTTCAAACTAAAATCTTAAAAAATATATCATATGGATTCTATTATCTTGACGTATAAAACTAAAAAAAATAATATGTTTTAAAAAATAAAACACCGACATTCTAAAATTATATTCCAAAATTCATATATTAAAAAACCAAATTTATTAATAAATAAAATTATATCAAAAAAATAACTTGATGAGAATTTTAATAAGAAATAAATAATTGAAGAAATAAATTTTAAACAGTAAGAGTAATATAATTAGATATATATGCTCAAACTAAAACCTTAAAAAAATATCATATATATTCTATCATCTTCAAACTATATAAAACTAATAATAATAATAATTTATTTTCTATATTTTTCACACCTAATTTCATAATAATATATATGAAGAAAATAACAAAAAAAGAAAAAAAAGGTAAGGCTCGCTAAATTGTATGAAATATATTAAAGTCAATAGATTAAAATATAAAATATATTAAAATTGATTCGATAAATTTTGAATAAATATATATATAAAGGCAAATAAAACTTATGATTTTTTAACCGATTATTAATGTTTTTTTTTTAAATTAAGCCAAACTATCTAAAACATACTCTTAGCTCTCTCTTTCTCTCTCTAATATATTTTTAAAAAATAAAACATCGACATTTTAAAATTGTATTCCAAAATTCATATATTAAAAAACTAAATTTGTTAACAAATAAAATTATGTCAAAAAATTAATATGATGAGAATTTTAATAAGAAACAAATATTTAAAGAAATAAATTTTAAACATAAAAAGTAATATAATCGGATATATATGTTCAAATTAAAATATTAAAAAGTATCATATGTATTCTATCATCTTCAAAC